ACAAACATTGTTTGCGCAGCATGCAAACAGACTGGACACCCAGCCAATCACTGTTCAAAAAACTTGCAGGGCCTTCCTTCAGCCACCACCACCCATTGCAATTGATGCGTTTGTCGACGGATTCGCACGAAGTGTCTGCTCCAATTGACAGCGGCGCTTCACATTCGTTGATAGATAAAAACGCGTGCGAAAAGATGTCAATCCAGCAACTAGTTGAGCCCCGCCTCATGTTCGAAGGCAACTCCGGTTGACTATCGAGCAGGCGCTGGGCGCGTGACTCTCTTCTAACTCCGCGGAGTTAGATGATGGTAGGTCACGCAACTGAGAGAGAGTAAGAGAGTGAGAGAGAGAGAGTGAGAGTGAGTGAAAAAAAGAGAGAGAGGTAGAAAGAGAGGGAGAGTGTGAGTGAGAGTGAGAGAGAGAGAGAGTGAGAGTGAGTGAGAGAGGTGAGTGAGAGAGAAAGAGGGGCAGGAGAGAGAGAGAGAGAGAGAGAGAGAGAGAGAGAGAGAGAGAGAGAGAGAGAGAGAGAGAGAGAGAGAGAGAGAGAGAGAGAGGCAGTTTGATGCGATTGCTCAGACAATCGTCAATCAAAAAGCTTCTCAGTCTCACGAACGAGCGTGTGTTCAACCGGCATGCCGGAGATAAATCCTACAAGATGGGAGTCGGGAGACCTTGTCTACCTTTATCGACCCGTCACCAATCCTGGTAATGCCTCGAAATTAACTAGAAAGTATGAGCCCGGCTATGTGGTAAGTGATTACCATTACAAGGACACAGCTGCGGGTCCGTAAGCCCGGTTCAAAGAAACCGCGAAAAAAAAAAGTGCACTGTGACCGACTGAAACCCCGCCCAGTCTCCCATGTGTATCGGGATGGCCAGAGAAAGGCTGCGATGCAGTTCAGATCTGTGCAGATCCCAGTCGCTGCCAATGAAAGGCAGGATATAGTATAGAAGCCCGGCTACAGAGAGCCTGGGGCAGGGTGAATTTTCTGAGCTAACGATACCGCTTCGCCGTTCCGCTGTTGGAACCAGGATCGAGCGCAACTCTCGATCAGGCAGTGGAGTCACCAGAGTTCTGGGGGCCTTAGGGCCCGGAATATGGTTCCTCCTCTGAGTGGAGAACTGGGATCGGATGTGTCCGATTCCCGTGGCCAGCAGGATGGCCTATCGGGCAGACAGCCCGTCAGAGGACAGGTGCAGCGGGACGAGCTGTTCGCTCAGATCCCGACTCGTCCTCAGAGGACGCCTCCGAGACATCAACGATCCCCAGAGGACAAGGAGAGCGTCCGATCGCTATTCCCCTTAGATTAGTGCTGTATGGATGCTATTAATTGTCGGTACCTATGTCACAAGGTATAAGGTTCTGGAAGGTCTGGGAACCCTGTCAAGTTCTCTGGCATGTGGTTGTGTGAGTTAGCATGAGGTGTTAAAGGATAAATTTATCAGGTGAGCCATTGTCAGTTATTTTCCATCGGCTTTCCGTAAAACCTTTGGAGCAGCATTACCTCTGGTGAAATGATACCTATGATTCCTGAATATGTCACATCCTGTTGCAACATTTCGCTGCGCTAACCGTTCACCCTTATCTCTGGTCTAATCAACCAGAAGGGCAAATGACCTGGTTCATTGTACGGCTGTTCTTGGATATTGCCACCCTAATGCTGATGCGAGCACTGTGGAAGCTCCACCGGAGATTGAATGATCTGGCCCTGTTACAGCAGACTTCTCCCAGTGAACAGCGACCGCTTGTCGCGTCTGGCGCCGGAGACGTCAGGCACCCGACCAGGTGGCCTGAGTCCTGCACTCTCACTTTCATGGCCTCTGATCATTGACCCAGCTGAGGCGGTCGCTTCATCTCGAACCCAAACGTCCACGTGAGACCAGGGTACAGTTGGTGTTTGGGGTGAGTAATTAAGCGTTAAAACCACAGATGTGCTACCATGCGACTAGGTGTGACCGACCAGCAGTGGCGAGCGAGACCGCTGCACATGCCAGATATACTGGCCGGTGGCCGCCCATACGCGCCCAATATCCGAACCCACACCAGTGTTTCGAGGTGCAATACTCGGACGCTTGTGTTGGCTTCGTAAAGGTGCAACAAAGTTATCGGTCCCACACCCGTACGCCAAGGTAGAGTACTTGGATGCGTGTGTTGGCAAACCGAAACGCAGGGCACACCGCGGTGAGAGAAGGCTACGCTGACCTGTCGATCGTGCACAAGTGCTCCATGCCGGATTCTTGTGTGGCCGTCGACCGTCAAACTGAGCCGAGTTGTGACTAGGGAGAGATCGGACACCGTCGTGTTGCTGGGGCTCACTGTGTGTTTTCAATGCCAAAGCCACTCCGAAACCTTTGACCCTCCTCACACCGGACAGACCGGGAGAGAGAGATCGTGCCCGTTCCAGCTTGACGAACGATCAGCTTGCCACTTGCTATTTGCAGATATCAGTTTTCTATCAATTCCGAGGTTCATAAGGAGAACTATCGCTGTGCTACACCAGGTCACTCTGCTTCTGTGTTACCCAGCAATGAGTTGTTTGTGGCAGTACATAACATAGCAGCCGTAAATGACCAGTGTTACAACCGCCCGTGTCATATCTCCGATTATCCGATCGTATTACACCTATCCGCATGACCCTGAATGACCCTGAATCTTTTGCTACAGATAATCTTGGCCAAAACCACGGTCCAGGATACCTCGGCGGAATGATGCTCCATATCGGCCAAACAAGGACTTTCAGCCGTTCGCTGGCAAGGTCCTACTCGTAGGTTGATGGATTTATTTTACTATTGTGGTGAATAGTAAAAAGTCAAGGGAATACATGCCAGGGAACGAGGACAGAACCCAACGACCCAAAAGAACCAAGTAGTGAGTGAAGTTCAAGTGATCTTCGCTGGTTAATGATATTAGGTAATGGTTGATTCTTGTGTGCATGTGTATCACTTTTAGCTGTTTCAGGACGTTAAGCCCCAAAGGTTGGAGCTATTGTGCCTCTATAAAAAAGGGAGGAATGTGAGAAAATCACGGTCGCCGTGAGGTGCGACCCGCGCTGCCGAGGTGCATGATCGAGCTGAACGCGGCCTGTGTCGCCGCCATGGTGGCACAAGGCTCGTAACACCACGCAGCGGCAGCGAGGACCAACTCCAGCTGGCCTTGGCCGAGGCCGGCGCCGTGATGAAACCTCCCCACCCGCACGCACCGGCGAGGCGGCAAGGTGTGGAAATCTACGCACAAGCAGTGCCCGACCCTCGGGACAGAGCGGTGGCGAAACCGGGTCAGCGTGGGACGACACAGCCCACGTCGCACCTACAGCTGTGCCGCGCGGCGTGCGCGCTCTCTTCCACATGAACATTATGCAGTTGATTGTATTAATTGCACGGCCTTGGATCGGAACAGGTTTATATCTTTGTAGCACTGTATAACATATGATTGGCGCCGCGTGACGCGCGCGTTTCTTCGACGTTTAAAATATGTAGTTTATTGTATTTATGTCGTAAGCACTGCATTGGATTGCAACAGTTCTTATTCTTTTGCCTGGAATACGGATCATATTATTTATTGTCTGTTGATAATGGATTACGATGTATTCAACGATAGATACGTGCGTAATAACCTATTGCAGGACCGACATCCACAGACTGCAGGTTGTACAGTACTTCAGAGTGAAATAGGCGAGGGCCTGTGTGTCAAGGAATGTTCAGCATCTTACGATGGTTTCACGGTTTTATCCCAAAGCAGAAAACATGATGCGAAATGCATTATTTGGCGGTTGTATTATGTACGTTTAAAAATGGCAATGTACCATTACGATAAACGATACGGGCCTTCTGGTACAATAAACAATGATGGTGTACCGGGTCGCATTGTTTATTGTGATGATTGTAACTGCTAACAAAATTGTGATCTTAGGTATATCAAGTGTGACCTTTATCATATCTGGTGTTCTGTATGTAGCGCTGTCGTTTTATCGCTTCGTGAGTTACTAGCACTTGTTTCGCATATGATTCAGTTCACGAATAAGAAAGGATTCTTTCGGCCACACATGTAGTTATAGGTATATGTTTGGTCAGGTCAGGTGTGTTATTTGTATATGTTTTACCGCGGACCTTCGGATACTGTGAAAGTGCGCGGGTCGTGACGTCACCCTGCGTGTGACGGTATAAATACGCGCGCGTGGCGTAGGTCGGGGCTCGGCTCTCGGCTCTGGATCGCTCCTGCTCACGCTCGCTGGCACTCGCCCGACTCGACTCGGCCGGGGCAGTGCTCTTGCTCGACCTCGCCACGCTGCGATGTGAGTACCGGTGGGACACCGGTCCAGTCAGGACCTGTTGTGCCCGAGTGACGCAGTAGTGTTTTCGTCACTGCGCGTGTAGCGGGTAACATTGCGCCTGTCTGCCTATTGCCTAGTAACTGTGCTTTTGCACAGTTACTAATCTCATGTCTATAATAGCCTGTAATGTAATATACCTGTTCCAAGGCAAAGCAAATTCTTTGTAGTTTGTAACGTTTACGTCTGAAAGAGACGACTTCTTGAAGAGGTGGTGCTAAAAATAAACTTTCATACTCCTAGACAAACGACCTGCTCAGCAGACACTTCACGCGTGAAGCCAAGCTGGCAAAGTAAAACAATAAAAATTCACAATACGTATGTGCAATAAAAACACCACACTTTACAGGTTGTAGGTTTCTACTTTCTAATTTTCTCTTTGGATCACGAGCGGTATAAATCGTGAAAGAGCTCTTTGTGCACGATTTGTGGCATAACGAAGCTCATCTAAAAAAAGCCGGTATTTATATACATAAGGTCCGATCAACAAGATGATTATAAAAACCACACCACTCGATGTATTTTGAGCTCCTGATTCCATATCTGATAGTTATTCATGGCGCAACCAAGTTTTAAAGCAACTGCGCAATATTTACCGTCGCCGCCGGCCACCACCCCAGAACACCCGCCGTCAACGCACTCCACCAGCCGTTGGCGCCTGGTTTGCGCCACGTGAGGGGTGCGGTTATTTTTTCTCATCTTAGTTTGCTATTTTGGCGCGATTTTGACAATTTCTGGCGCATTCCACTTATTTACTTTAGCGGCCATAGGGCAATGGTTTACTAACGGGAAATGTGATGAATTGCAGCAGCAATTCTTGGAATATAAAGAAGAAGTGAAGCAATTATGATGCCTATTATTTTTTTATAATGACAGAAGGAACGTGGAAGAAAAACATTCATTTTTTGCAGCATGTGAAAACAAGGAAATAGAATGAAAGAAGGGCTGCTATGAGTGCTACTTTTCATGCGCCTGAAACCAGCCACCTCATCATCATAGCATGGTAATGATAGTTTAAGTTTATGTTAAAAAAGAATAGGAGGAGCTGCTGCAAAGGTGATGCCTCAAAGCCATTAAGTCAAGTCAGGCATGCTCTTACAGACTGAACGTTCAAGTTTCGAGACCCCCATCATACTGCTCCAGTGGATGTGCAATTTCAGATACTTTGTTTATTTTTTGTGGCATAATATCAGATATCTAGAAAGTTTTTTGCAAGTCTGGTGATGACTGATTGACTGATAATTCAAATAAGTGATGTAGTAAAATTAAGTTGAGTGGGTACAAGTGCTTTTTTTCTGTAGAAGAAATATTTGATTTGATTTTTACTTTGCTTACATGCTGTCATTATCATAATTGCCTCTATTGAGCTGGGTATTTCATTATGTATTGAACTACCGAATTTATATTTGAAAATTAGGTATTTAATCCGTAATCAACGAGCATTAGGCTGCATGGTAGTAGTCGAGCTTGTCAAATACCTAAATGTTTTGCTCAGAAATTGTTTGCTTTATTGGTTTCTTGAGTTTCACCAGATAAAGATACAAGGTTGGCTGATTTGGTGTTAGTTATCCATATTAAAGTGCACTGTTTGTGACAAGATTATGGAAATTGTAACCTCAATAATGAAATTTCATGCTGTCAAAGCTATGAGATGTTGCATTGAGTTTGAAATCAGGCAAACATGGATTGAAGCTGCTTTATAAAAAAAACTGTTTTTTAGTAACTTTCACCCACTGGCGGTCGCAGCCGCTGGCAAAAGGGGGGGCCAAAGTCACACTCGCGGGACATAACATTTATGCGTCACCGGATGGGGGGGGGGGGGGTGATCGGCTAATTTTTTACGCCCACGAGGCGCCCAAAAAGTTGGCATTACTTATGCTTCATACACCTCATTCTTGCGTGAAATCTTTAAGCTCAATTTAAGGCAAAATCACCAGTTCCATTTCCCGTCCCACGGTGTTTCCACCGGTCGGGCCACTGCACCATGGCGACGGATCGATGTAGCATATACTGGAAGGTCGGGCACGCGGATCGGATTCATGACCTTACCACTATAAAACAATCCGGAAAAGTACAGATACTTCTTGTTTTGAACAAGCATGTGAAACCCAGAGAGCATTTTCAAACCATGACATTTACCCATATAGATGTGTAGCGGCGGGAGAAAGTAGGTACACCGACCTCTGGAGACCCCCAGCCCCACAGGTTCCTGGTTTTCAAAATTGGCATCTGAGGGCCGCGCGCGACTCGTGCGGGGCTTCGCAACGGCTCTATTGGGGCTCGGCTCACTCAACCTGTCTTATAGTCCTACTGCTAAAAAGACTGGCCCTGAGCCCTAAGGACTTCATCAGTCTCTGCCAGCCCCACACACCGGCTCATGGGGTCCCGACGTCGAAATATGAGGGAATCTGCGCGGGACCATCAGGACGTAAAGTAATCTCGATCAGGACCAACGTAAGGCTGTGCAGGAGTCTGTGTGAGCCCTGTGATCTTCAGAAGCCCACCCACGTATGTTTTCACTTAGAGGCCAGTTTAGGGCCCTCAGAGACAAGTACAGGGCCTGCAGACTGCAAAGGCCAGTAGTTTGAGACCATCAGAGACCGAGTTGGGCTCTCAGAGGCTAATGTGGGTCCTTACTCATTACAGGCCAACAGGGGCCCTCAGAGGTCAGCGTGGGGCCCTAAGAGACCGGCATGAGCCGTCTTTGGACCCCAGAGGCCAGCAGAGGGCCCTCAAAGGCCAAGATGGGCCCTCCTCAGAGACCAATACAGGCCCTTCGAGGCCGGCATCGGGTCTTCAGCAGCCAGTGCCGGGCCCTCATTGGCACCTAAATGTTCGTCTTGGGGCACCAGAGACAGCAACAAGGCCATTAGAGATCGGTGTGAGACCCTCAGACGCCGGTTGGGGCCCCTGAGGCCAGTTAGGGACCCTCATATGCCAGATGTGGGGCTTCAGAGGTCGATGTGGGCTCTTAGCGGTCAACGTGGGCGCTTGACCACCACTGAAGTTCAATCAGAGGTCAGCGTAGGACGCTCAAAGACCGGTGTGGGAGCTATATTAGTAGCTGGGCGTGGTTTTTTTAGCCTCGTGACGATCGAATCAGGGCCAGGGCCCCATACACCTATGGGGGCCCATCGGTTGCTTGAGGGGGGGGGGGCAAATGATATGACTGCCCCTTTATGTGCTACATACTAGCTCATGCAAACTCTATGCAGGCCCCGGAGGTCCCACGCTAATCTTCAAGAAACCAAGCCGGCATACGGCGTCACCACCGGGCTTGAGGTGCACCGCAACAGCCCATGAGGTCTTACTTTAGTGTCGTAGAGCCACGCTCATTTGGCAGGGCCCACCCGCCACTGCCGAAGAGGGTCTCATGCCAGCCATTGCTACGAGAGCCTCAAGTAAACCCACGCTGATATTCCATATAAGATCCGGCCTTACTCGTGAACCGGTGCCAGCGACGCTGACCGCCAAATTGACAGAATGCGAAGCTGAGTCCACTCATGAGTAAAATTTACGTCCTTTGATGGCGCTAGAGAGAAAATGAAACATACAAAAAGCTTTTCTAGGACTTTTGTTCGATCTGAAAGGTGGGGCCAAAAGATAGTATGGCCCCACCTTTCAGCACCAAAGGGGGGGCCATGGCCCCCGTGGCCCCCCCCCCCCCTGGGACCGCCTATGCTTTCACCTCATAATTTGTATTTAACTATTTAATATCAGAATGGGAGCAAGGCTGAATCACAATTATCTTTTGGGAAATGCTCTACAATACTGCATTGTTTTTATTTCTGTGGCATAATTTTGAACCTAATTCAAAGACTTACTTTGAAACTACACCAGAGACCTAATTCTCTGGTGTTGCAAGGAAATGTTTTGCATGATTTAGCTTAACAGCATAACTTTTATTTTCTCAGTTGCATTGGAGCTCTGCTGGAGTTTGCTGATGACAGGATGCTGAAGGGCTGAAGCTGGTAGCTCTGGCAGGAGTCCAGTGTCCACCAGCTCAAGATCCGACGCCGCCGTGCGGCACTCCGCGGAGACGGGGACGGCGGTCATGATTGAAGCCACCGCATTTCCCGCCTGGATTGTCCGGTCGGAGACTGGTAATCCCTCCGGTGAGCCGCACACCGTGGAGCTACTGCACCGCGCGTGTCCACCCGCAGCGCAGTGCCAGCAACGGTGCCGTGAGTGCGACATCTGCGTGCATATGACGCAGTGCGACTGTCCCGACTCGCGGCTCAGTGTTAACTGTCAGTGTGACAGTGCGGCTCGCGCTCGTTTTAGCGAGGTGCTCTGTTGTATATAACCACCTTGATGAAGACCTATATGCTGCCGCTTGAGTTTCAATGTACAGTTTTATGCATCAAACTAGCGTAAGTAAATGGCTGTCAGAGGTCAATTTGAAGCGCAATTAGTACCCATAACCCAGCTGGGTTGAGCGAGTCATGTGATTAGTCCCGATGAACGTACTGTTTCGATGTCGTCAGTCGTAGACTTTTGTTAACTATTCGTTTCGGAGCTCTGTGTTGTGTTGTTCGGGATCGCAGTTGTTTGAGCAGTTTGTTTTATGCGTCGTACGCTGACAGAACGCTGGTCGTACACGAGTCATGTGTTTCCTTTCGCCCCTAATGAGTTACTGTGGTACTTATGCAGTTGGAATGTGTCTCGAGACACTAACTGGTCGCACTTGGTTGTGAAAATGACACTAGCTGGTCGCATTTGGTTTCAAGCTGCGCTTGGAAATGGTGCAATTTTATTTGCATTTTGCAATGCAATATTATTGCCGTATTGGTAGATAGTGTCAGAAGTTGGCCATTTGATGCGTTGTCACTTGTCAGACGCTGTTGCCTTAGTACTGACAAATTGATGGGCCGCGTTTGTGTTCCTGTTAAGAAACGGATATCAATATAAGGTGATTCAGAGCTAGGAACCTGAATGCATTCGTTCAGACTTTTCATTTTATGGGGATGCACTGTTTCATGAGCAAGAACGAGCATGGCTCAGGTTGAGCGAAGCACAATCGATATTTGTTATCGTGTTTGTAGACTGTGGCCACATTTAGGGGAGAGTGGGGCAAAGCGGCCACCCGGGGCAAAGCGGCCACCCATCGTTTTAGCCCTTCATAGCTGGCGTCAGTTCCACTTTATGGTTTCCAATTATACCTCTCTTCACGGTCGTTCGAATGAGCCAGACCGGGGTTTCAGGCCCATCACCATTGTTCTGTGAAACACGGAAAAGCATTTCTTGCCAGGTTACCAACTATGTTTACAATTTTTAAATGTTATGTTATTCCATAACCGTTTGGAATTTTTATAAGCGTTCTTGTCCATGCATTGCATGGTTATCGTAAATGTGTTCTACCAATTTTAATGTGTTTTATCCCACTAATAGCTAAGCTGGAATATTTTGTCTCGGACGGTATGCGCGGGGCAAAGTGGCCGGGGCAAAGTGGCCACCCCCAATTGGCCATAAGTTGTTTCTATCTGGATAAAAAACATTATTTATATTCAAATGTGTCGTCATGCATTCATCTTGGCCACTTTTCAGTTGCATGAGCTACCAAATAATGCAATTAAATGTTGTTTCATGAAAATCCTTTCTTTGTTTACCTACAGGTGGAAGATGATAAAGTAAACATCCATCCTCGCTTAAACCTTGTCACCATCAAATACCCTAGTCGTACATGAGGCAACTATTTTGTTTCTCATATCGGGACTTGAGAAGACGCCGGTGGCCGCTTTGCCCCAGGGTATGGGGCAAAGTGGCCAATATGCATACGTTTAAAGTTTTGTAAATATCTTCCATATGTAAACGCCTTTGGAAACAAAACGCAGTTGAAATAAAAGGCAACTTAATAGGGATCACATTGGTATAGAAAGAATCTTTCCAAGTTTAAAAATCAAGCGTTGGCACCGTGAGAAGCGTTAGGGTGGCCGCTTTGCCCCACTCTCCCCTACATCACTATTCAACTCCACGCACCAGCATTATTTAAACTGCTTGAACCTATACTTCATTTCGCTAAATTTCGGGGTCGTCAACCTACCGTCCGCGGCCGTTACGTTTGGCCAATATCTAGATTTTATACATATTAACTGGTTCACATAATCACAGCATGATGCCCCGGACAATTATTTATAATGAATGTATCCCAGTACCGCACAAACTGAGACTGAAACTGGACAACTCGCAGTCGAGGTTCAAGTTCATTATCTTCAGATGTTATGGCATGGTAAGTAAGTTGAAGACAATGGTCAGCGTTAGCAGTGCTAAGCGGGTATTATGAGCTTTCAGTTATTTCAATATTTCTTTAGGCTATTAGGTATTCTTGTGGTATCTCCTGTCAATTTTACACGGAATATATAGCATTATCTTATACAATCGCGGTAACTACATATTTTCTGCCGGTTACTGTTATTATCATTGATTCGTAATATTTCGCTACGAGCGTGGCTCGATTCACATTGTTATAATATTGGCATTCAAGATTTAAGAATAAACATCTTTTAATACATTCCAATTCCTTTAAAATGTCAACATGCAAAAAAAGTTCAAAAAATTGCAGCAGTTTTGTGAATAAAAAATAGCTGTAAAATAGGCCTGTAAAACTTCAACAACAGTGCGCCGAAAAACGTCTAAAAACGCGTAAACAAAAACTAAGATGTAAAAAAATAACTGCACCCCACGTGAGATGGATCGAATGAATAAACTCCAAGGTTGAGTGAAAACGTTACGCTATTCAATCTCATTATGAAAGTGACGTCATGAAAATGATCGTGGCGAAGCGGTGCAGTGCCGAAGGCAATGCCTTAGGAGAGATTACAGGCAATGGTAAGTCAAATATTTTTAGGTTAAGTGGTTGTGTATCTGGCCTCAGGCCGAAGGCCTGAGGCCTGATGCACAACCACTTAACCTAAAAATATTTGACTTACCATTGCTTGCAATCTATTCATGCGAGCAACCTTTTCCTTATCCCCGGGTAGGCAAAAATCAGTAGGTCAGGTTAGGTCAGGTTAGATTAGGTTCTGACAATTTTTGTCGTGTTTTTTTTCCTATCCTACCCAACAAAACTCCAATTTTTTAAACATTTTTTTCGTGTTTTGTTATTTTGACGTCACTTTCATCAAACAATTTGAATAGAGAAGAAGTAATGCTTTTTACATTTAAATTGCTTTTTGAACATTTTTTATTTATTTTTTATGTTCAAATAATATTATTATGATATCTTTTCTATCAAATATGCCTAATAGCTATGACCTTACGTAAACTTCTTTCCATTCGTACCTGCAATCTAGAGCAGAAACTTCCGTTTCCGTTTGAGCAAACTGGTTTGAACCAGTTTTAGCAGGTGCTTTCCAGTGCTTTCCGCTTTCCCGCCAGTCTGTTAGTTGGATCATGGCTTCCGTGCCGGGTGGTTCGTTGTGCTCCGGGTGCAAGTGGGAGGAATATGAACTAGTTTCAGTTGCGTACCGCAACGAGGAACGCGTCCAGCGTATTTTTCGAAACCACGGTGAACTAGATTAGAGGTAAGTAAATTTTATCTCTCCGATCCACTTCTCAAGCATAAATTTTACATATTCTTACGTTATTTGACATCCTGAATGTAGATAAGATGCTTACATGCGACGTAAAACAGTTCTACCATATTAAAAATATTTGCTGCCGTATTTGGGGAAATGTTGGGAACCGGGGTTTTTGGGTCGGGGAGGGAATACAATGCCGTAAGAATGGTCATGAAATTTGGGGAAAACTGTTGGGAACCGGGGTTTCTCTCCATACCCATAAACCCCGATCCCCCCTCCCCCACCCAAAAACCCCGGTTCCCAACAGTTTCCCCCAACTGTCATAACCATTCTTACGGCATTGTATTTCCTCCCCCACCCAAAAACCCCGGTTCCCAACATTTCCCCAAATATGGTAGCAAATATTTTTAATATGGTAGCACTGTTTTCCGCCGCATGTAAGCATCATATCTACATTCAGGATGTCAAATAACGTAAGAATATGCAAAATTTATGCTTGAAATATGGATCGGACTTTATGTAAATATTTACCAAAAAGCCTTTACGACAACCGCCGGCACCTCCGCTCTATATAACAGGTGTCCCATCTAGCCCTGTGGACAAAGGGGCGCTTCTCTCAGCGGAGACGGACAGCCACCAGCTCAGGTCAGAGCCTGTCTCGCTATCAGGTCACACTCACGATCTGCAGCAGCTTCAGGAAGCCGGACGGACGGCCCAGGACGCGGATGTTGGCCATGGCTGACGGCGGCAGAGACTTCACGGGACAGCAGCGGCACTGCGGAGACCTCGGTCCGGCGGCGGCGGGGGTCTGCGTACGTTTACCGTCTGCCACGCCCGCGCGGCTTTCGGCACCCGGCCAACAGTGGCGCCCCTGGCGGCGGCGCGTTAAAACGCCCGGGAGGGCCGCGCCGGTCCACTGCCGTGCGCTTCCAGCCTCTGAAGAACTCGTCATCGACTTTTGGCTCCAAGGTCATGGTGGAGTACTCTGGGCTGGAGTCGCGAGGGGGTGGCGTGGGCGGCTGGAGGAGCGTCCTTCCTGCACGGCCGGCGCGCTCTGAGGCGGCGCCGCCCCCGCCCCCGCCTCCGCGCCATCCGCGGGCCTGCAGCAGACAGCGTGGGCGGAGGCAGGCAGCGGGAACAACAGGCGTTTGTTGATCTGAAGACACGCGATGGACAGATCCGTAAAATTTGCTCCGACATTGTATGAAATGGTCAACTGTGTGAAATAGTCAGGGCAGGATCAACCCATTGCCAAGCCTATCTTTCTACATGCGCCCCGGCCGAAGGGTGGAGCCCCTCGCCGTTTCGCTTCTTATTGAGATAGAGTCCCATGGGTGTCGATTTGTATACCTTTGGGGGTGCTGCAGCACCCCCAATGCTCAAATGAGCACCCCCAATGGTTTTCCGGGCACCCCCAATGGTTTTGTCCCTCAATAACTCTGCTTGAGGAAAATAATTGTTCTGCAGTAGTTCACTACTAAAAATAAAACAATTACGCAACTTACAAGGCATGAAATAAAGATGTAAAGAAAAGAAAATTTAGATTTAAGAAGAAGGGCAAAAAAAAAACGTTAAGTTGCAAAGATGGTGTGGGTCCGTCGTACACGGGTGTCGGACCCTTAAAGCTGCTGGCGCGTACCCTTTACAAGCCGGCAGGGGGCTCCAGAGACCGGCGACGGGCCCTCAGAGGCCGGCAAAGGGTCATCAGAGGCCGGTGGTATGTACCTTCAGAAACCCTGTGCAGGGTCATCTTTAGAGACCGGAACGGGCTCAGGCGCTGATGGGGCCCTCAGAGTCGCCGGTGTGGGGCCTTCAAATGTCACCGGTGGCAGGGTGGCCGTCACATGCGCACTTGTGGGGCCTTCAGAAGCTACGATGCTGGGCCCTCAGAGCCGCCGATATAGGGCCTTAAGAGGCACTAGTGTGGGGCCCTCAGATATGGCAATGTTGGGCCCTCGGACTGGAGGCGCCGGTGTGGGGGCTCTCAGAGACACTGGTTTAGGGCCATCACAGGCGCGCGTTGGGCCCTCAGAACTGCTGTTACGGAACGGATCCTTCATAGGCCGACAAGAAGATATCAAGAGGTCACCGGTGCCTTCAGGAGCCTTGTGGGGTTCTCAGAGACTGGCATGGTGCGCTCAGACGCCGCTGGGACCCTCCGTGTCACCTGTGTGGGGCCGTCAGGGTCGCTGGTAACTGTCAAGGGCCCTCAGAACCGCCCATGTAGGGTTTTTAAAGGCATTGGTATAGGGCCTCAGAGTTAGGGGTGTGGGGCCCTCAGAGACGCCGGTGTGGCGCTCAGGGGCGCCGGTGAGGGCCCTCACAGTCGCTGTTAATGGGTCCTCAGAGAAATGGGTGTGGGGCCATTACAGGCGGGTGTGCAGCTCCTAGAGCTGGCCCCCTAGAGGCCGGTTAAGACCCCCAGAGGCCGGCAAGTGGCCCTCAGAGGCTGGCTTGGGGCCCTTATGGAGATCTTAATGTTAGTACTTTTGGGCCCATGAGGTGTTCTTACAAGCCCTGTGGGGCCCTTCTGAGTCCAAATATAGCCAACGTAGACCCTCAGTGGCCAATTGGCGCCGCAGTGCCCCTCAGGCCCGAATAATCCGATGGGCCCCTGAACCTGATGGGGCGGGGGGGGCTCACGGGCCCACCTGGCTACGCCACTGAGGAAAATCGTAAACCCATAAATATCGAATTGCAATCACCTGTTATTTTTTTTCAGCGATTATTGTGATCGTCTGATAAACGCCAGAGCCTCGTAGCTATACCGTTGCCTCCCGCGCAATGTCCGCCCCTGCGGACCGCAGGGGCTGCTGCACCGGTGCTAATCGCGGTCATCGGTTTCTGTCACCTTATTACAGAGGTGTCGGGGCTGCTGCCGAGCTGCCGGCAAATGTACGCGTTTTTTTCGGAAAGATGTTTATGTACAGGGTGTCCGGAAAGTCCTGGCGCTTTTCAACATTGTTAAGATAAATGCCTTTGGTCCATAGATACTCAACAATAGAACGAAACAATGACCAGGAACACCAAGCCACATCCTTCTGCTAAGTGCCCATTCATTGTAACCACCGTCTGTGCCGACGACGGCCTCGACGCAAGGGCGGAAACGCCTGCGGGTTTTGACGGTGCAGGACATTTCCTGTCCTCCCATGCTGTCATGATGCGAGTGTTCAGGGACTCCAGGCTGGGATGAGAGGTGGCCTAGAGCTTATTCTGCAAAACGCGTAGCATGCCTTAGTCGAGCGGGTTAAGGCTGGGATAATAAGGTGGCCTAATCTCATTTCACCACGGTGATCTGGTCCGCCGAGCTCCTCTGTCAGTTTGGTTTGGACGGCAGCGGCGTTGTTGGAGGGCGCTCCGTGCTGTTGAAGTGCGACATGACCCTTAGGGCAAGTCGCCTTGATTGTCGTGTCCAGGAACCCCTCGTGGACCAGCCTATCAGTCATTTATTTGACCTTGACGAAGATGATGGGACATTTGTGTCCATCAGACCCAAGATTTTCTTCGATTGCCGCTGAAATGCTGCTTCAGTCTCAGCAGCTTTGGCATACCGTGGTTGTAGCTGAGTGAGAATATTTTCTAAGACATTTCCGATCTGGAGTGCACCTTTGCCTGCTCAACCGTTCGCCGGGAAACGCCGCATCGCGTTGCAACTCGCGCCTCGTTCAAGCCGCACCGGGCCCCCGCGCGCGGGCTCTCAGCGACAAGGCGCATCTTCGCCCATATACCTAGCACTGAAAACGGTTTCAAGGTCATATTTACGCGACCCCTAGCTGAACGGTGAACGAGGGGTCATATCTGCGGTGATTGGTTGAAAGTCCAATAATCACAGCGCGCGTTAGACGACGTCCAAAAGAGGCGCCAGAACTTTCCGGACACCCTGTAATGAGGTAGCCAAGTACTAGGACGAGCAGAATGATTTTGAAGAACGTTCAACCTTTGGGAAATATTAGTGGAAATCCCGGGATTATCAGTACCTTATGGGGATACACAACCATGCCTTGTAGGTACGGTTGTGCCCCATGGCAAAGCTACAATCTTTCACCCGGTGCAGGGGTTGAGCACCCCCAACCATTTTGAAAAATCGACACCCCTGTAGAGTCCCGAAGAAAAACGGGCATTTGTGCTGTTACGAGAAATAGCGACTGGTACCCGATTTCAAGGTTTCAGGTTAACCGGTGACATCTGAGGTCAGGTCAAATGACCCAAGATAGGGGTTCGATTTGGGTTAATAACTTCGCTAGAAATGAGCAATGGTCACAGAGCCGTGATTTTGACACATTGTGTTTGTCTTGAGTCCTTGACCAGGAGCGTCGAGTATTTTATTTTACAACAGAGTCAGAGACGCTTGCCCGCTGCTCCTGTAAAAGCAAAGCCACTTCAACACTACCAATGTCTAAATAATAAACTATGGCGCTTGCCGCTTGTGCAACATACTTTGCTGTTCGAACGAAACAATTGTCAAAGTCATAAATCAGCATTGGGCTAGCCAAGATATTATCCACACTTCCATAACAGTAATTGTTGCCACGGATGGACCAGGACACTCAAACTAGTTATGTCATTTTCTAGGAATCCATTTAATCCGCCCCTGCTAAGAACGCCATGGCTAATGTATGATGATGCTCGTTTGGTGTGTCGTAAATTCGGCCGGTCGTAGCCGGAGACCTATCGATCGGCCGTGAAATGGCCGGAGGCGTGCTGGGCGGGCCGGTGCGTAGGATCGCATGACCGGCATTGGCGACAGAGTCGGCAGCCTCGCAGGGTCCGGTCGGGGCGTGGCTGAGTCAGGTGTCACCCCTCCTCCGCCGCGCCGGCCACCCCCTGTAACCGCTCCCCGCCTCCCCCAGCCGCCCTCCGTCGCACTGCCGTAGTGCCGGTGGCCCATGCAGTGGCGCCGTTGGCCCATGCAGTAGCGCCAGCTCTCAGCTCGCCGTGTGTACGCCGCCGCAGGTCGACAGATTCCTCGGGGCACCCGGTGGCCGGTCGGCCGACCTTGGCGGCTAAAAATGGCCCACCTCGGCATCTCCGAGGGACAGAGCTGCGAGCAGCACGCCGGTTTATTACAGAGCGCGGCTGGAGTCACTCCGGCCGGCGCCAGCCGCCAGTGAATGGGGCTGGGTGGGATAAAATACTCGACGGGGTCGTCGGGTTTGCACCTTTTTTAATATTGCACGGTGCCATCAAAATAAAAATGGTTTCATTATTCTCTCTTTGATGCTAAGATTCGCCCTAATTCAGACTTATCCGTTGTTGCCATTGACCCACTGCACTGCCAGTAGTGCCGTGGAAATGGAACATTAGGTACAGCCTCCTGTAACACGGGGCGTAACATGGACGTAAGCGCCGCGTGACGGGGTAACGTGAGCCCCACACGGCACCTGCGACACGAAATCGGCTACTATAGATCGATATCGCAGTGGCTGCGCCAGCGTGTGTGTCTACCGCGTGGGACCTGTTTTTGTCGCTGTGAGAGCTGTCAAACGTCAACGTACGGTGTGGGAGGGGCGGGGGGACCAGAAGGGCTGCGGCACAGGGAGCGTTTGCGGTCGTCGGGTGCGTGATCCGAGAGACAGGACCCCGGGACCGTCTCCCACCTGTAGCTGCACTCACCACCTGTGGCAGCGGCTGAGTCATGAGTGTAACAAACGTGAGCGCAGAGTTGCAGCTTGCAGGCGGCCCATGGTCTATCACGGATGTATGGTCTGGTTTAGGTGCAATGCGTGATAACGCTTTTGGCCGGGCTGGGAGTGAGGCTGCAGGTCTTTAGGCCAGCTGGCTAGTGGTTAGGTTTGATTGTGTGCCGATCGGTCGCTAGGTCTGCTATATAACGGTCGACTGATGGCTGATCGGTCCGGTTTGGCTCACTTCATCTGTTCGCTGGTCTGCAAGTTTGGTCCGTTGGTCTGCTCTCTGCTCGGTCG